ACATGTAGACTTAACTACCTGTGACATGAGATAAAGCTAGAGCTCTCAGAGTCCAAACAGAAATACTGGATCATAAGACTGTGTCTACACTACAGACCTTACAGTGGCACGGCTGTAAGTTCTCCTGTGTAGCTTCTCTATGCCATGGAAGAGATTCTCCCACTGACATAATTAAACCACACCCAAGAAGCAGTGGCAACCATAGGCATCAATGTCTAGGATTCCCTGAGGGTATTTCGCCCCCACTCAGTCCCGAGGCCCCGCCCTCAGTCAATCCCTTAGTCTACGGCCCTGCCCTTGCTTTACCCCTCCCAAAGGTCCCTCACCACCCCCTTTTCTCTGCACTTACCCAAGCCTCTCCCTGATTAGCTCACTGGGGGCTCTGCCAAATAGCTGTGGCTGGTGGGTGCTGAGCCCTGGCACAGCCATGGAGTTGGCACCAATGGCGGCAGCTAAGTCAGTGAGAGAGCATCTCTCACTGACATAGTGTTGTCCACACCAGCGCTTTTGTCACTGAAATTTATGCTGGTCAAAGGGGTGTTTTTTTACACCCCAAACCGACAAAATTGCTAATGGAGAGAGAGCTTCTGTCTAGAGTTACCAAGAGGCTCATAAAAGCTCTCATCTCACCACACAATGAGTGAAAAGCCTTTAATCGAGTAACTGATGGTTCTTATTGTTCAGTTCTTAATACAATGATCTTGTTGGGTGCTAAAATAGTCTCATAGCAAAGCAATAGCACTATTTTGTAGAAGGTGCTGTTCTGTTTTTTAGGACTCAGCCATCCAAAGCCTTATGTATGTTCTTAGCTCTACTATCATGAGTAGTTCCACTGATGTTAGGGGGAAGATTGATGGTATGAAAGTGAAGCATGTTCATAAACATTTGACGCAATCAGTGCTCTAAGCCAAAGAATTTTCATAAAGATTGAGGGATGCTAACCTGCTCATGAGGCTCCCCTCAATCAGACTTCCCAATATGGGCACACTGTGAAAAAGTAGGGTGGGGAGAGAAAGCACGTTTCAAAACAATGTTCTGGGGTATTTCCTGGGGATACCCAGAACTGCAACCCAGAACTGCAACAGACTAGAGACACAGAGAGGGAGAAATGGGACAAAGCCAGAGGATACACATAGTCATTGCTCCCCCTGATCCAGCAGCAGGTCCCCTGCTACCTTACACTTGCAAGAGAAGATACTTTCCTGCAAAGAAGCCCAGACCAGAGTAATGATTTGGACTGCATGCTAAATTTAGATGTAGCCTAAATAGCAGTAACATGGGAAAAATTCCCTGTGAGAGGCTGAGTCATTCCAAACATACTAAACGGCAAAATATGTCTAAACGGTCTCCCACGCTATTCTTGCCAGCAAGTTAAGGGAATGTGGATTGGATAAATGGACGGTAAGATGGATAGAAAGATGGCTAGAAGGCCGGACCCAGCGGGTAGTGATCAACGGTTCGATGTCAGGATGGCGGTCGGTTTCTAGTGGAGTACCCCAAGGTTCAGTTCTAGGACCGGTTTTGTTCAATATCTTTATTAATGACCTGGATGAGGGGATAGATTGCACCCTCAGCAAGTTTGCAGATGACACTAAGCTAGGGGGAGAGGTAGATACGCTTAAGGGCAGAGATAGGGTCCAGAGTGACTTAGACAAATTGGAGGATTGGGCCACTAGAAATCTCATGAGATTCAACAAAGACAAGTGTAGAGTCCTGCACTTGGGACGGAAGAATCCCAAGCATAGTTACAGGCTGGGGACCAACCAGTTAAGTAGTAGTTCTGCAGAAAAGGACCTGGGGGTTACAGTGGATGAGAAGCTAGATATGAGTCAACAGTGTGCCCTTGTAGCCAAGAAAGCTAATGGCATATTAGGATGCATTAAGAGGAGCATTGCCAGCAGATCCAGAGATGTCATTATTCCCCTTTATTCGGCTTTGGTGAGGCCACATCTGGAGTACTGTGTCCAGTTCTGGGCCCCCCACTACAAAAAGGATGCGGACGCATTGGAGAGGGTCCAGCGGAGGGCAACCAAAATGATTAGGGGTCTGGAGCATATGACCTACGAGGAGAGGCTGAGGGACTTGGGTCTGTTTAGTCTGCAGAAGCGAAGAGTGAGGGGGGACTTGATAGCAGCCTTCAACTTCCTGAAGGGAGGTTCCAAAGAGGATGGAGAGAGGCTGTTCTCAGTAGTGACAGATGGCAGAACAAGGAGCAATGGTCTCAAGTTGTGGTGGGAGAGGTCCAGATTGGATATTAGGAAAAACTATTTTACTAGGAGGGTAGTGAAGCATTGGAATGGGTTACCTAGGGAAGTAGTGGAGTCTCCATCCCTAGAGGTGTTTAAGTCTCGGCTTGACAAAGCCCTGGCCGGGTTGATTTAGATGGGATTGGTCCTGCCTAGAGCGGAGGGCTGGACTTGACGACCTTCTGAGGTCTCTTCCAGTTCTGATTCTATGATAAGGGGATGGTTGGATGAAATAACATGATCTTGGTAACTAATTGACCATTCATTTCCAGTTGGAAATAGGTCAATGGAGGGATGATAGGAGTTGCTATAGGGAACTTTCTGGGTGTCTGGCTGGTGAGTCTTGCCCACATGCTCAGGGTTTAGCTGATCGCCATATTTGGGGTCAGGAAGGAATTTTCCTCCAGGGTAGATTGGCAGAGGCCCTGGAGGTTTTTCGCCTTCCTCTGTAGCATTGGGCACAGATCACAGCTGAAGGACTCTCTGCATGTTGGGGCCTTCAAAGTATTGGAAGGCTTCAATATCTGAGACATAGGTGAGAGGATTATTCTAAGAGGGGTGGGCGAGATTCTGTGGCCTGCACTGTGCAGGGGGTCAGACTAGAAAGTGTTACCTCCTGAATAACAAAAAACAAAACAAACAAACTCTGAAAACACATACCCAATATTAAATACCAGTTCATACAACAGTTGGAAATGGTTCTTTCCATAGTTACTGTTGAAATGGAAACCTCTATTGCAATTTAACAAAACATTTAATGAGCATCCACCGAAGCACAGCAAGCTCTATATGCCATGACAATGGCCCTTTCTGTTAATACTAATAGTATTCTCATAGAACCGAGCAACACTAGTCATAGACTTAGGCCCCATTGTGGTTTGTGTTACACAAAAAAGGACAGTCTCTGTCCCAAAGATCTTATAATCTATAGTCTCATCACATTTCTAGTTTATATGAGACAAGCTTCTAGGTTCTTGTCAAGTATCACCCGGCAGACTCAAATGACACCAGCATAAGTTAATTCCAAGGAGTCAGGAGCTTAGAAAGCCCTTGTATATTAAAAACTGAGCACACCAAATTCATGATCACACATACGTACGTAAGCACATCAACAAATCAAATATTCAACTATCAGTAACCTTACAGTACTGTTTTTCTGGAACAGAATACTATAACTTGATCCATATATTAAATGCATTAGAGCTTCCTTTAAATCATGGATGGGGAACCTTTTGGGGGTCAGGGGCTGCTGACCCACAGAAAAAAATCAGTTGGGGGCCGCAGACAAGTGAGAAGCAAAACAAACAAACAACCCCCCACTGAGGAGGAAGATACTCCCCATATTCCCCTCACACACCAGAGCCTAAGGGGGCCCAGGCTAGTAGATTCTGTGTGCCCCAGCACCAAGGTGGGATGGTGGGGAGGTTGGAATGCTAGTACGGGGGGAGCCCTGAGCCTTGGGGGCCAGATCGAAGCAAGCCAGGGGCCTCATTTAGCCTTTGGGCCTGCACTTCCCCATCCCTGCTTTAAATGACTACTGGTCAATGCTATTACTTGACTCTCTCAGTTTTACTCATACAGAACACAATAATCTTAACATATATGGTAATAAGATGAAATCTAATAAGAATGCAACAAAGGCATTTGAAATCCTCACTGACATTTCTTTTACCAGACAGAAAACAACAGGTCTAACAAAGGACTTGCACATGCTAGTCCTAAAAATATCAACTGGCCTAACATTTCATAATTAGTGGAAATGCTGACACAACATAGGCACTTTTACTTTCAGGGCTTTATGGCTCTGCCATAAAAATTCCCTCCAGGTTGAATGTCAGCACACAAACTTATCAGCTCAGAGACAGGGCTTCAGATATTTCAACAGCACCTAAGCTCTGCATCTTTTCACACTGGCATGACTCAAGAGGCTTCATTTTACAGCTGCAAAGCCTTTCAATTGATTAGTTTGTCATTTTCATCCTCACTTTTACTGTTTTGGAAAAACAACTCAGTAATAACCAACCTAATTTACCGGGTAAACAACATACATCTTGTTTCCTTTCATAAAAAGATTATGTTGTTGATAGGGACCTGCCCGAGATACACACTCCCTTCCTGACTAAGCAAAGATAGTATTAGAAACCAGTAAGAGGTACAGAGGACTGCAGACAGCTCCCATAGTTATTCAAACGGTTTAATCTCAAGAGGCAGCATTTGAATAGAGTAGTCTGCAGGAAGTGGAGCAAGAACAAAGCCTTTGTGAGTAGGATGACCCCAGTACCTTGCTAAAAGGAGAAATCGTTTTCAGTGTAATCTAATTGCAGACCCAGTTTGCTCTCCAGAGGCATCTTGTGAGTCCGGAAATTTGCAGGGATGGTTTAGCAGTAGCAAGACACAGAATCACATCATCCTACATCAATGTCAAGATGGCCTATGGGTAGAGCAGGATAGAGCACGCAGACAAGCTGGGTTTAAGCTCCTTATAATGCTGGTATTTGTGCAGTTTGTGACTGCAATAATAAACAGCAGCAGCCCAGGTGTCTCTTTCCTTATCATCTTGACCACAACCTGAAGCAAACATTGAGACTCTCCCCCATGCCACACACAGAGCACACTGGACTCCCCACAACAACGCTCCTAAGGAGAAAGAGATTCAGGAAGGAACTGACCAGGAAATCAGTCTTATACAAAATGCCCCCAAATGTGGCCTTAAAACAGTAATAATGCTCTTAATATGGAGCGGGAAAAGGTTACCAGAGTAGAAACTGCTGCTGCTTCTTCCTCTGCTTCCGTCCTCTGTGTGATGCTATCCCAGAACTGGAACCAGTCTCTGAGCTCTCCTCCACCAGAGACCTTTCCCGCTAGCTGCCGTGAGCAGAATGAAGCAGGCAGGGCAGAGTCTGGGCGGGACACTCCAGAGGGCGGGGCGTTTCCTCTGATTGACAACTCAACTCCACTAGTGAGAGGTGGCGGCTGGATGACGTTCTTCTACTCGGCTCCCGACGCCGCCGGGAGAGAGGTGGGGCTGAGAGCGGGAAGGAGGGAGCAGGTGCTAGAGATGCAAATAAGGCCAGTATGAACAGCCAATCAGCACAGAGTGGGGGGGGGGAGATGGTTTAGCTTAGCCCCATGTCCATACAAGCGCATGGCAGGGGGAAGCTAGATGCAGAGACGGGAGGGGGGCGGAAAGGGGAAGGAGTGGGCAGATGATGGGGTGGAGCAAGGGACACGAGGTGATTATAGGGGGACTGAGGTGGTGGAAATGGGGCAGTGGAGGGGGATCTGGGGCCTGAAGGGATGCAGGATATGGGAGCCTAGGGCTCTGGAGTTGAGGGGCCAGGAACAGAGCAGATGGTGAGGTGTTACCCATGTTGCATGCTAAGGGCTGGCTCACGAGTGTTGAACTCAAGCTGTGCAGCCCTAGAGGTGGGGTGCGCTGGCCAATGAGGGACAGGGCTTCATCATTCACACATAGAACTTAAAGCACTGGGGTTCCTGCCATTAGCAAACACAACACTTTCTTGGCATCGGGGTTCTTTGTGTTGGACTTCATTCATTTTCAATGATACCATGAGAGGACCCCAAAGTGTATGGAACACAATGTCAGGACTAAAACCAAGGCATTTGAGAGGACAGAATGTGAAGCCCCTCTGGATTCATCCAAACCAGGCCAGCTTTTGTCGTAAGTAAGACTGTCACAGAAGTTGCAGATATCCCCACCCACTCCAGCCCTTCCTCCAAATCCCTGTTCCTGGCTCTTGCTACACCCACTCCACCCTCACCTCTTCCCACCCATTTTCACCCCCTCCCCTGAACACGCCACATCCTCACGTCTCCTCACCCTCCCCCCACCCAGAGCCTCCTAAGCACTGGGTGGTGCTAAGGGGAGGAAGGGAACTAACAGGGAGACTTCTGGTGGGTGCTCAGCCAGCCACCAATTTTGTCCCATAGGTGTTCCAGCCTTGGAGCACCCAAGGAGTAAGTGCCTTGCTGGTGGGAGTGACTCCTCCCCACCAGCAGCTGCCTGCCCCCAGCACCTATGGGGCTAGGCCAAGGCAACCAAGGGAAGCAAGGAGCGGTTTTACTCTGCAACAGGAGTGTGGAGAGAGTGACCTAGCTTCCCTGGCAGGGGATGGCTCGAGGGGGTGTGACTAGCTGACACTGAGCTCTGTCAGAGCAGAGGCAAGCATGGGCACAGGAACAAGGGGTCCAGGGAATGGCAAAACACACCAGATTTTAATCGGGGCTCTGCTGCAAGTTCCCTGTACCGGCACACTGGGTCCCTGCCTGCATACCCCCTTCCTTCCCGTGCTTGGGGTCCCAGCTGCCAGCCCCGCATTTGAGGTCCTGGCTTTCGGCCCTGAGGCTCCACTGTTCCTGGCCCCATGCTCACCCCCAGGCTGATTTTCAGCACCCTCACTGTCCTAAGTGTTTCCGCTCCACTGGAGGCGTGAATGTGTCAGGGGCACAGCTCAGAGCACTGTCTCCTGCCCTTCCTGGAGAGCACATGCCTATGGAGAACCAGCCAACCAGAACCCCAGCTCCCACAGCACGAAGAACAAGGAACTTGAGCATGCCAGATGACTCCCACCAGCTTCCAATCTGCCGGCTCCTGGCAGGAGGCACCATTTTCAAACTGTGGGAAGGTGCACAGTTAGTTTTGGCTCTGGGCAGAAGGGCAGCACATGTGACAGGCCAAACCCTGTAGTGGCAGGGCCCACTAGAGAGTCGCAACATGAAACTGCACAGCAGCTGTTGCATCCCCTTTAGCTCGGGGCCCTGACACAGCATGAACCACCCCTGCTAAAACCCCCTGGAGCCACTTGCTTCTCTTTTCTCTGGGGACTGTACCTTTCCAGTCCCATGCTGTGCAGCCTTATTAATGTTAAAAGATGCAAAGCTATCCATTTTGGCTGGTAGCTGTGATGACTCAGATTGTTCGGCATGCAAATTAGCTCTGTGCAGTTGAGGCAGAGTTGCTATAGTAACAACTGTAATAAATATATATACTACAACCCTGTTTAATCAAAGCTTGCTCTTCTCCTAATCATGAAGTTGTGAGTTACATACACAGCTGCTTCCTCCTTCTCTCCCCACATTTATCAATATGGCTTTGATGTCCCTGAAACAGTTCAGATAATCATAGTGTGGAAGTTGTAAACCAAAAATACTTGTTATAGTAACATGAAAATGCAAGGCTGGGGGTCAGGCTCAGACAGCTTGAAGGAGAGAGACTTAAAAACACTGATCTTCACTGGCCGTACATCAGTGTAGCTCTCTTCATTTCAGTGGTAGTAGTTGAGGATTTGGTCTACTGTGAGTGAGGAATATTAAATGCCTTAGTCACAGTGGAATGTGCTGCAGAATCATTTCTTGTGCTGGGGTGATTCTTTAAAAATTGTCTTGATATTAATCCAAGCAGAATCATAGAACTGTAGGACTGGAAGGGACCTCAGCAGGTCATCTAGTCCAGTCCCTGAACATGGTAGGACAAATATTATCTATGTAACCCCCAAGGAGATTACTTAGATTCCGGGGGCTTTGTGTGCTGGCAGCTCAGGGAGAGGCACTCTGAGTTTGCCTTGGCTCCCTCTCCCTACCAGGGACAGAGTCTGCCTGGCAACCCATAGGGAGTGAGATGCCTCTCCGAGGAAGTTCAGGAGGGGGAAGGAGAGGCCACTGTGGAGGGGAGTCTGGAGCCAGCCAGGGCAAGGGGAAGACTGCTGTGTGGGAGCTAGTAAGCCCCAGGCTTGCATGCAGGGTTCCCCCTGAGAACTAGCCTCTAGGGACCTGAAGGCAGGATCCCTCAGTTGGGTTTTATGTCTCCACTGTTGATTCCCAGTTTGTGGAGTTTGCTGGGAGGCTTCCCCAGCCAGGCTGAGTTGGCTCCAGCTCCCTGGGTGAGAAGAGTCACCGCATGGTCAGCTCGGCTCTAGCAGCAAGTTCAGGGCTGCTGCCTGCTGTGTGGGTCTGAATGCTGGGCTAGGAGGTTATAGTTTGAATTTTGGTGGAGTTGTGTGGCCTGCACCTTGAGCCCTGCACCCCTTTAGTTTGAATTTTGGTGCAGTTGTGTGGCCTGCACCTTGAGCCCAGCACCCCTTTGTGGAAATGGGAAATTCCGGGATTGAAGCAGCCTGATTCCTGCCTGAGGAGGATCCCCGCAAGGAGAGAGCAGCCCCTCTGCAGTGACATTGTGTGCGAATTTTTTTATTAACTAAAAAGTTAACTGCGCTGAAATTCTCTTGCAAGTTTTTTTTTCATGTTTGAAGATGGCAACAAACATTTTCATCCTCTCGCCTAAGAGGTTCCCCCCCCAGTTCTAGCAAGATGAAAACCCATTTCCTTTCTCTTTTACCCCTGTTGCATTTGTGAGTTGAATAAAATGACCATGAATTGGTATTGGCCACAGCAACATGAGAAAACCCTGCCTGGGCAGAGGAAGAAACCACATAAAAGCGCGTGTGTGCATTTTGTGGGGGAGGGGACGAGAGAAGGATGATGCCTGAAGCTTCTTGGAGTCAGAGCTGCGATTTGTGAGTGAACCATGATGAAATCACCCCTGGACAAATCAAATGAGCCTGTCAACTTCACCAGGTGGGATTAGTTGTAGCTAGTAGACTGAACTCACGGAGCAAGCAGAGCGCTGCAGTCAATATAAAGAGAGCCACACTGTGAAGGCTTTTCAAGAATTCTCTAGTATGGCTAAGAAAAGCTGTTTCCAGTTACCCCAGGTAGGAAAGGAAAGGGAAAAGAACTTGCTGGTTTTGAAAGGAGTAACCAGTGTCTCCGGGGGAGAGTTATTACAAAAAGAAACATTTCAGCTTTTCAATCAGATGTTTTATTCACAAGCCCCTTTCTGGTTTTGATTACTCTAAAATTGTGACTCTCGTTTACGGTACTGTACCTCAGGTTGAGACCCAATAATTTAAACCATCCCGGACAGATGTTTGTTTAACCTGCTCTTAAAAAACTCCAGTGATGGAGAATCTTCAGTGTCCCTGGGTAATTTATTCCAGTGCTTAATTTATTCCACCCTGGCAGTTAGGAACTTTCTCCTAATGTCCAGCCTAAACTGTCCTTCCTGCAATTTAAACCTGTTGCTTTTTTGTCCTATCCTGTTCTTCCTGTTAGGTGATCTGTTACAGCACCATTGTTTTTTACCCTTTTTATCCATACCCAATAAGTCTGTCTCTTATTTCTATCTCAACCTCAGTTCATGTGCACACATTTTTAATATATAAAACTATACCTCTTCCTTTTTCCCCTGCCTGCCCTTCTATGCCAATATTCCAGACATGTGTATTATTATCCCACCTCTTTCATGCTAACTATGTTATACAGGCAGTCCCCGAGTTACGCGGATCCGACTTACATCGGATCCGCAGTTACGAACGGGGCTTTTCTCGCCCCGGAGGACTGGAGCGGCGGGATGCCCAGATGTGCTGCAGTCCCGCCGCCCCGGTCCTCCGGGGCGAGAAAAGGTGCTCAACATCTCCCTGGTCTGCTGGGGGAGGGAGTCCCCCCCAGCAGACCAGGGAGACGCAGAGCAAAGCCTTGGAGCACGCCCGCAGCGGGACAGCCTGGGCACGCCTGGGCTGTCCCGCTGCGGGCGTGCTCCGCGGCTTTGCTCTCCGTCTCCCTGGTCAGCAGACCAGGGAGGCAGAGCC